TGTCCGGAAGAAATACAAGTTATTACCACCGGACATTGTCATTATATATCTACCATCAGCATCGTGTATAAAAAGGCATCACTGAGTGAGGATGCCTCATTCGAGAAGATGGCTCGCTGAGGAAGATCTGGCTCGACAGGAAGGCGAAGACGCAACGTCGAGGCGAACAACAAGCATGGACCATCGACTCGGATCACCGGCTCTGAGGAAGACGAAGACGTCGAAACGTTAGCCGAAAATAAATATATTTATCAACCTCGTGCAAGCTTATCAAGAAAGAATACATATTGATTTGTAACATCTATTTCAATTTCGTCGGCTAAACGATGGCAGCTCGTAAAAACATACATGAGAAATGCTAGATGGAACAAGCCGGTCAATTATTCGAAGTCAACGGTAAAATCATTGTCTGAAACCAATTTAACTCAACCATTTGCTATTCTATCTATCTCAAATGGTATCTCAAATGAGACACGTTGGCCTAGAGGCCGGAATAACGACGATAGAGTGGTAATCCTAGGATGTGAAAACAACCTTCCTTTCAATAGTCGGATAACGAAGACCAGTTTCGGAAGTATTTTGTGCCAAACTCCGACGCCAAATTTGATCAGCAAGTTTCCGCTCTCAAAGTTCAGCTCAGGTCTAGCTATGTTCATCATTCCCGTTTGGATATAACAATTAGAAGGTTATTCAATCATAACACAATTTCTTGATACTGTACTAATGTGTACTATAAGTATCCATGGGCGATGGGAAACTTTCAATGGCACTGATCAGACTCCGTATTTTCCGGATATTTTCGCCGTATGTGGCGCAGTGGTCAGAAGCGCCCTGCAACACACATGGGATCGATTCCCGCGCCCCTGGCCCACCAAGCCTTCCATCCCTCCGGGTCGGCAAATTGGTATCAGACTTGTCTGGAAGGATAGCGATGGCTCGATAAATCAGTAGGCCAGCGTGAGTAAAGGGCAGATATACATTCAGTCACCTCCAACAATGCTTAATGAAGTCGATGCATAGCGGATCCCGCAGGAATTGATCAACGCCGACAGCTTTATGCTTTTATCTTTCTCCACCTTATCACTTCGGGAACGCTTGCAGTTCAGTTTCTTAAACGCATTTTTTAAAAAACCCGTCTAATCTTTCTCATTGTGTTCTCATTGATTCCACCAGCTTTATCAATCTCTCAACATTTTCTTGGCCCCTCATATCCGTAATTCACTCAAGTGTCATGCACTCGTTTAGGGTTCTTCGAACGGACGCAACGAATTTGGCACTTCCGTTGTGCGACGGAGACAAACAGAATTTTCCGAAGTCCGCACGCGTTACTAAAAGAATAACGGATTTACAGCTAGTACTAGCGGCAAGTGATTTCTTCAGGCATGAATTATTATTATCGAAACTTTATATCCATAGTAGGAATAGGGTACCAACACTACAGCTACGCTCGGCCTAAACCCTATTAAAGAACGCACTACCCGGCCGTGCCCGAAATCAAGGAATGAGGCTTCTGAAAGCGCGCGCCATCGAAAGCAAAGAGCCGTTGTTTGAGGATGATATGAACAACAGCGCGAACAAGCCTGCACCTCAGTTATAAACCAACCTGTGGATTCTTATGGTGGTCCTTTTGAGTAACAAGATTTGGTTTGTTTCAATAGGAAAGCCGTTATTCAAGCTGTTCCTAAAATCGGGGAAACCAACAGCAATAAGAACTCTGAAGGAAAGATAAGAGAAGCAGACTTCAAACAATGCCTGTTTTTGCTCTTGATCGAAAAATGAAACAATGAGCATTCATTATGTCATAAGCAGCCATCGAGGAAAAAGAAGAAAAGTGAAAAATGTGAGTTATCTGGCCAAGCCCATATAGGGAAAGACTATTTAAGAAAAACGCCGAAATTTCCTGAAAACGAGTTGACATAGGGCCTTCGTCGTGAATCCGTGTGCCAAACGTACCCATCCGCCCACAACTGTGCCTGAGGTGTTACAGCACGATTCGTTGTGAGATTTTTTGCCGAACACAGAACTCCTTTCATCGGGAAAATCCCCTAAAACAATACAACTTCCTCAAACGCTCCATTCAAAACAGCTACGGGGATCTTCGAGGCCTCTTAACGACTCAAACTCTAGAAATGAAGAAGAATGGAGGTTTCCCAACTGAACTAATGGATTACAAAACAATAGAATGCCGTGGGCAAATCATGGCACAACTGCAAAAAACATCCGATGGTTAGCACAGACATGGAACCACCCCATTGGAACGAGCGTCGCGTTGGCGCGTCTGTGAGCATTGGAGCGCGGCAGCACTGACCGCGTCGTCCGGGACGGAATTTCGCGGATTCATGGCGCTGCGCCAGCACGCGGTTTTTCTTGTCAGTCATTCATCACATACTCTCGGGCAGGTGATTGCAGTCTCTTGTTTGTGTTGAGCACTTTATGCAGTCAGAACTTCCTAGCTCATGGTATTCACGTGATCCGTGGAATTCTGTACTGCTTTGAGACGTCGGTCCTTAAACGTCCTGGCAACAGCTCTCCTCAGCAGAGCTGATGCGCAGCTGCTTTAGCAAAGAGATGGATCGGTTTAAACCTCTTCACAACTCTTCATCACTCTCTCCATGAGATCACGTCGTTGTTCACCAGGCATTTATCGCTATTCGTCCAACTTAATGCTCTACAGATTTGTTATCAAGTTTTTCTGTAGTTGTTGAACGGAGACGGACACTTCCGACTGTTGCTGGTGATCGTGTGATGTTGTAGCCTTTAACTCCATGTTCTTGAATTTTTTGTTCTATTTATTTTACATACAAAGATGAAACCGATAAACATCTTATGATATGTTGTCTGAAATGCATCACTTTGATACGTATTCGTTTCTTTTATTGGTTTAATTAAAGCCGAACAAGTTTTCTTCCGGATCATCCTTCGAAGGAGAGATCTTCAACTTTTGTGCTTCACATACTTGGATATTTGGGCGCGGGTACTTGGACGGCCCGTCCTCACTGGTTGTCCGGGCCCAGCATAG